CATTGGACAAGACATGATGTTAAACAAGTCATAATAATATAGGATCATTACCTCGTCATGAATCTCTTCCACAACGTCCTCCTTGTGTTGAGCATCGGTAAACCAGGTAAAGAAACTGAAAAACGACAGTCAAGATAGAGGCCATTAGACATGTAATTGCTAAGTAGATAGGTTTATTAAGCCAAAAAAATTAACTTGGATCTATGATGGGTGTATAATCACTTAATGAGAAGAATTATACCTCTCTTCAGGTAATGCACGTTTGTTTCCTTTCTTATCGTGATCCACTCCATTTTGCAAGCCCTTTATGATTGAGAAACATAGTTAAGAATAATCCCAAAGAGTGACAATGAAATTAAATTAACTTATGTCATGCAACATATATACTTTGCCCTCTTTCCATTTGATAGGCGTGGCTGTGATTTTCGTTGTTCCTTCTTCGAGGAAGGTAAAAGTCTTCGTTAGTTTTCCATCCTCAAAAAAGGGGTTGGGATTGAAGTGCTGCAGTTCACATTTTAACAACAATCAGTAAACTAAAAATATACGCTTGGCTCTCTTCGATCAAACAGAGATTGAAAATGATTAAAAATGGCATGATAACAAAGAGCTGGATTCAAACAAACTTACAAAAGTGATTGAGTATCCAGATTTCACATCTTTGGCATCCTCAACATCAAGAGAGCTAAGATATTTGAAAATCTGTCAAAACAGACAATCGTATCAAGAGGTGATTCTGATGTGAAAATATGAATCAATCGAACGGAATCTCAAGTATAAAAACACAAACCTTTTGGTCTTCTTCTGTCAACAACTCGCCAAGAGCAGGATGACTCAAGAACTGCAAAGAAGAACAGATTTCCAATTCCAATTAGAGAAGATATACTTCTAAACTCTGAATCGAAAACAGAATAGAGTAATTTGACTTACAGCAGTTAGCCAAAAGTCAGGGATTGATTTGATAATTTCGTTACGCTTGTCGTAAACAGGCTTCCTTATCTCGTTATATTTCTGCTCTACTTCCAGGACCTCATCGCTAGCCTTTTCGTTTATCTAGCAACAAGAAATACACACAAAGCAGAACAAAAAACGAGATCATTGAGATGGATTTAGCTAAGTCTGAAGTGTTATAATATTATAGTAGCGGTGCCAAATTAATATCTCAAACAGTTCTCTTGACTTCTCAACAGAAATTGGAGAAGTCAATTTTGCAAGAGCCATCATCATATACAGTAATTGATGTGAAAACGACTACATTTCTTCGAAAGACACAACAACAACAACAAACATCAGACTAAAGAATCTTAACATTAAAACATAACAAAAAACATAAGTAAAGATACTGACTTTGATATAAATCTCAATCGAGATGAACATAATTCGGCAGAATCCAATTCTCATCACCAAAGCAATTAACATCGACAATTGATAAATTCAGAAGATTTCGAACAAATATAGAAAAGGGTTTGTTTTGATTTACCTTCTCGAGATCGTCTTGGATCTCTTGAAGCTTTTCGACAGAGAGAACAAGCTCCTGATCGACGATTTGCTCGACGTTTTCCTCTTCGGTTTTGGCCTTCTTGCTCTTGTCCGCCACCATTTTTCACTTCACTCGCAACCCTTTTGAGGAAACCCTAATTGCAATCGCAGAGGATTCGA